AACAATCCCTTCTTGGACTGCCAAGTCCTAGGCCTTGGCTTGTGGGCCTATAAGGTACCTGAAACTCGTTCCTACCCCTAGGGTCATGAGTGTTCAAACGATGTGATTATCGTGGTAAGCATTTTAACCAGTAGTTTTTGGTTAATTTGGATTGGTTAACTTTGATAATTGGTTTTGTTTGGTTAAAAAAATTAGTTTGTTTGGTTTAGGTGGGTTGGTTTGATTTCAGACACAGCTAACCAATCAAACCAAATTATCCAATTAAGTAATTAATCATATATCTAATTATATATTATATACACATACTTAATGCTTTATATAACCACTTAAGAGCCAAACATTCCTACCTTTAGTCTCATCAACAATAAAGCTCAATATTGTTCATATGCTGTATATTTGTATTTGTAGAGTGTAGACCATGATATATGAACACCCAGTTTATATAAAACTCATACAATATATTAGATGAAAACATGAAAGGAATGCCTTTTTCAACCTATGATAATTGCCAAGAGACTAATTCAATTCACACAATCACAACAACTAATTAACTCCGTATACTATTGACATATATTTTTGTTTGATAAATACTTTTATTGACTATAAGATAATTGTATTAGTTGCATGTATTTCTATAAATTGTGAATTTGACTATTATAACTATGTGTTCATTGTAATGTTTTACTCATCATATAAATTGTGAATTGATGCATTAACCAAAAATTTCCTCACTCAATGGTAATGTGATGTTATTTTGGTTAATCTGGTTAACCAATTAACCAAATCGATTAAACTTTAGTTTGATTAATTTGGTTGTTGTATTAGTTTGAACGATTTGATTATGATATTATATTCTATAGTTAATATAATTTTTACTTGTTTGATTTGATAATTACCACGATAACCATTTGAACACCCCTACTTACCCCACTATCTTTTTCAATTCCACCAGCGAAATTCATTATAAATCCTATATTTCCCGATCCAATTTTCTATTTTCCTCAAATCCACCCAAAACACGACCATTATGAGTGGGTTGTGAATTCCGTCCGTAGCGATAAGGGCCTCTACGTCGATTGTGTCGCTCACTTGAGATCTCCTTCAGCTCGACTTCTCGGCTGTGAGGATGTTCAAACGGCTGCCACATGAACATGATTCTATGGATTATCTATTTATTTTCTTGTTTTGCAGGTGCCTTTTGGCCACGTACTGATGATGCTTTGTATCAGTTAAACGATTTATTGCATTTTATGGTCATAGTCCGAGTTTTAATGTTTTGGTTTGCAGGAATGCTTCTTCGGCTATTGAATTCTCCAGGGTCCAGGCCTTTCCTTGGCCGCTCACGGTGACTTTCTAGAAAGAGCCTTGGGAGTTAACAGTCCATTTGGTTGGTGTTTTCATTCTTTTTGGGTCATTTGGATCCAGGTTTTTAATTTGTGGGATTTTGGCTCAAATCACTGGTTTAAAAACCTAGGTTTTAATTTGTGGGATTTGTGTGGGATTTTAAAATAGCTGATCACCATCAGCTATTTCACAATCCCACAATTGTGGGTTTCTGAAATCTCTAATATTTAAAATCTCTTATCATATAATTGCTTTCCAAATGAGTGATTTTAATTAAAATCCCACACTATGTAGGATTGTGCCCAAATCCCACACCCAAAACCTGCATCCAAATGACCCCTTTAGTGTTTTCATCAGCAAATCTATTGATTATCACATATTCACATTTGATTGCTTGTTTTTCTCTATCTATTCGTTACCACTATCTATGCCAAAAAAAAAATATTTGCTTTTTTATTGTAGCTTGGAGAACTTTTTTTCCAATAGATTCCTCAGCACACGATGTAAAATTCAGTAACACATATACAAAGGAACCGAAAATAGTTCCTTTACGACTACGGAGCTAAGAAACGCAATCAAACCCCATAGACAAGCTGGTGATAAAAACATAGGCTTTCGAACTACGTAATGAGCCACTCTGTTACAATTGCGACCGATGAACCGAAGCGGAACATATTGAAGGAGGAGAGTAGAATACACAGTAGGGGTGGGCGTTCGGTCGGTTCGGTTCAAACCGAACCGAACTAGTATATGCCGAATTTCCGAAATTACAGATACCCCAACCGAATTCGAACCGAGCTATATTTCGGTTCGGTTTGTCCGAACCAAAATATAGCTCGGTTCGGTTCGGATTTTCTGTCAAACCCGAATTTATTCCGCATTGAAGAGTGAAGAGTGAAGACTTCCCCCTTTGCCTTCACTTCACCCATTATCTCGCTCTCTCTCCTCTTTTTTGCTCTTCTCTGCTTTTTCTCCCTGCCTCTTCGTCGTTCCCAGCTCCCACAAAGCCCAACTCTCCCTGACTCTTCGTTCTCCCCCAAATCGATTCGTCTCATCTCCTCTATCCCCGACCATCGTCTCCTCTCCCCGACTCCCCCAACCTCAACCATGCATCTCATCCTCTACCTTAGACAGAGATTCAACAATCTCCCCCAATCACCCCCAATCTCGTTTATTCTCTCTCACCAACTCACTGCAGAGGCTACAGATGACACATGCACCGCCAGGGTCACCAGAGGCCCCCGATGACACATGCGCCGCCGCGGGAAGCAAGTACAGATCCAGACTCTCCTTCGATTCAACATTTGTTTGTGTTTTTGTTTGATTATGATTTTTTCTAGGTTTGCTAATCTGAGGTTTGGTTTTTTTGTTGATTTTCTGGGTTTAAACTTTAAATAGCGGGCGTCGGGCGAGGACAAGTAAACGGAGAGTGGAAAGGGCATGGGACGTTCTAAAAAGAAGAAGGAGAAGAATCCCGTTGCGGCGGCCGTTGGAGAGTTGGGCTGATCGGCGAGAGGGTGGGAGATGAGCGGCTCTGAAGTTAGGGCCGGGCGAGAGCCGAGAGTTGTATCTTTTTTTTCCCTTAGGGTTAGGGACGGGTGGGCTGTATGAGGGTTAGGGTTAGAGGTTGGGCCGAGGCCCAGGGTCAGTTGTGGTAAGGGGTGAAGTCTGATATGTGGGCTGCATATATTAATTCGGTTGTTCGGTTCGGTGATCGGAATTCCGGTTCGGTCGAGAGGAACTTGGTTTCCGAAATATGCCTATCTCCATTCCGAATTCCGAACCGAACAAACATATTTCAGTTTCGGTTCGGTTTAAATTCGATTCGGGTCGGTTCGGTTCGGGTTTGCCGAACCGGATGCCCACCCCTAATACACACCCACACAGAATGCAGACCTTTTGGACGGCCTGGCTAGTGGAGCGGACATAGGTCCAGAGGCAGCCCATGAATGGCCGGGCTTACACACTTGAGCTTTGGGCCAGATGCAACCTTTACAAACAGGCTTAAACATCCCATATTTATAACTTAGAACGCAAGTTAGTTTTTCCATTCATATTTGACGTTGAACTTCCCAAATTAATTTACCATAAAAAGCTCCTAAATTAATGCATTATCTTCTATTGACCGCACCTAACAATCTACGTCAGGCTGATAATAAGCCGACTCCTTATCCTGCATGAACATGGTCGGTCGGCAAATGAAGACAACATTGAATTTCCGACCTGAAACGAAAGATTAGTGAACACGACAATAACAAGAAGACCAACCAAGTGTTGCTTACACAACATATTAGAATTTAATTTTGTCCACAAAAACGCTCCAAAGTTAGTGTCCAAATTATAAGCAACTGTTAAGGAAACACCACCAATTAATCACTGCCTAAATTAAGGAAACTGTTCAACAGTCAACATACACACTTTTGCCAATAAGGTAGGTTCCAAAAATATTAACAATTTCCACAGAATAATATCATTCATTGCTTCAAACCCCAAATTATGTGAGGTGTTCATCGATGATGCAGGAACTATAGCTGACCGGATATTAGCGTCTTGTTAGATACTGTTTTAATTATCCTGTTGAATTGCGGGTCTGAATCCATCGAAGAAAATTTCCAAATTCGTCAACTAGTTTATACTTTGTAATTCATAGATTCACAAATCTATCACCTATTGTACTAGCCAAAATAAAAGATCCATATACATAATTCAATGATTCGAGGACGCATTTCATAACTCCAATTAGAGCGGTCGCACGAGCTTTTAAGGATATGGAGATTATGGAATCAGTGTGTTTTGTTTCTAACCTCCAAGCTTCTGTCCATATCTTGGATTTCCCACTATGAATACATGATATGAGGTAGCTTGTGGGCGTCAAAAAAGTAGTAACCATCGTCATTGGAGCACTTTGATCTTCTCCCTTTGGACCCGGCAAGGCTTGAACTTCATCATCGACAAAATGATAGTAGTTGGAATCTAGTCATGTAGACATATTACTGTTGGTGACTTTGTGGTCTCATTTATATGGTCAAGAGGCTCATCTAGTTGATAGGCATACAAATTGAATGGTAACATTATATTGCTATTATATTGATTTTGGTTTTTCGTTTTTATTGAAACGAAACAGATAGGAGGTTTAATGATTTTGGGTTTTACATCATCTAATATTTTTTGTGGTTTGGATTTTATTTAAATGGAGAAACAGTAAAAAAAATGATACGACACTAACTAAGTTAATACCCATGAACAGAACAATAGTTGTCACCAACTTTGTGTAGTCGATTCTATTTTTTATCTTCATCGTTCTTGTTGTCTTATCTTACTCTAATTTTTTGGCTTCACAAAGACACAAACCATGCCTTTGAGTTTTTATTTTTTGGTATAACCAAATCAAAATTGTCAAAGATCTTGTCGATTTTTGGATAACCAATAACCGATAAATCTCTTAACTATTTGGTTTTGATTTTCGTACCTAATGGATTGGTTAACCAAATCAAAGCGATGCCCCTAGTAATATAAGACCATATTGTTAGTTTTTATGCATAACCCATTAATTTAGGTACCATCTTGGAATATTCACAGTAGATGTCGAAAAAGGTTAAAAAATTAAAAAAAGCTTAACTGCTTAACCACAACACACATGGGAGAAGCAGTGAAAGATTGGAATTTATAATTAAGATTTAAGACCATAAGCTTTTTGCTTTAACTGAAGCTTCATTTTACTAAAATTAGAGATCTCTTTTACTTTTCTTTCCTTGGTGAAAAAAATCCACCTTTTTCACTTTACACCACATCCACCCCTTCCTTTTTATCCCTTCCTCCCTCAAATTTCACTTTCCCTTTACACATTCCCCTCAAGTAGAGAGAGAGGGAGAGAGATTAACAAGTAACATTAGCACTTAATTAGGCCACTAAACCATATTAAATTAAACAAAAACAAAACTATCAAAAGAACTATGTCAACCACCTTTCCAAAAAGAGATACGAGACCCTTCCTTGTGTAGATCAATAATACAAAACAGCAAAGACCCACCAAATCTCATCTCATTCCCCCCAACAAAGCCAGCCCATAAACCTAAACTCTCAGAAGCAAATTCCCAAAATACCCCTGCCTCGCCCCGGAATATACTACGACCGGGGACGGAGCACGTTGAACGGCCCACCAGCAGCCCATGGGTTGATTGCAGCCATAGACCGGTGGTGGTGGGCCGCTGCCGCCGAGCCCATCAACGCCAACGGCGATGCTGCGGCGGTGGAAGCCGCCGCCGCCACGACAGGTGGAGATGACGTGGAGGCGGGGGCGGATGATGTGGACGAGGGTGGGACCGCGACACGCTCACACGACGGGCACATGGTCAGCGTGGTTGGTGGGGTCATCTGCATGTAGAACTGTGGGGAAAGTTTCAGTGCTCTCAGTTCCTGCACCTCTTTCTGCAACCGCCGGTTCTCCTCCGTTAGATTCTCGCAGCATCGCTTCAAGAACTCGCAGTCCACCTCCGTTTGCTTCAGCTTGGTCCGGGCCCGTCTGTTTTGGAACCACACCTCCACTTGTCTGGGCCGCAGGCCCAACTGCTTAGCCAATGCCGTCTTTTGCTTCTGTAAAAGAAGGGGGGGGGGGGGGGGAATTAAGTTTTCATTCTTCCCGAAAATACCCCTCCCACGCGAAAAGTAAAGCTGTTTTTCTTAATTTTCTCGCGGGGATTCTGTTTGGTTGCTGAGAAAAGAGTCAAAAAGCTATGAATCCTCCCCGCTAGAGGTCAAAATAACGTCCTCCGCGAATCCCAATCCGTTTTTTCTTTCTTTCTCAGCTACCAAACGGACAAAAAAGAAGGGGAGAGAGGATTGAGATTTCCAGTTGTACTTACGGGATTGAGAGTGTTGTGCTCCTTGAAGCTCTCTTCGAGAACGGCGGACTGGTCTTTGGACAGCCGGAGCTTCTTCCGGGAAGTGTCGCCGTCTTCCTCGTCGCTGATCCCGCCGCGGGAGCCGGCGGCGTCGAGATCCTCTCCGGCGGATCCGGTGGTAGCCGGCTGATCCCTCTCGCTCCTCTTCCCGCTTATACTCGAAACGGTACTGTTGGGAGAAGAAACCCCCACTTCCTCCTCGCAATCGGCCGCCGCGGCGGCCGGTAGCCGGTTCACGTCGATCCCCCGGAGGAACGATCTCGTCGTCTCGCCCCGGTTCGAGTCCAAATTCGGATCTGCATGCAAGGGGGGAAAAAAAATCGAACACATGAGTCGCGGATCTAGAGGAAAGGAAAATTTGAAAAAGCCGATTGAACACAAAGAAAAGCTATAGATTCCAATTTTTTTTCTTTCCCCTGCTCAAAAGAGAAAAAGCGAGCTTAATTTATTGATTCCTTTTTTTCTTCAAAACGGCACTTTCAAAATCATGGAAAGAAGTAAAGCATGAGAAAGAGGAAGAGAGTGAGAGATCGATCCATTACCGGAGGAAGGATTCAAGATGAGAGCGGCGTGGCTGATCCAGGAGGAGGATTTGGGGTGATTAGCGGCGGCGGCGGCAGGGGCGGAGTGTGGAAGGAGGAAGGCGGCGGAGGAGGAGGAGGAAGAAGGCATTAGGTTGAGGTGAAGAGGAGTATGGTGGTTGTGGTGGTGATTTTGATGATGATGATGAGGAGAAGGGAAGCTCAAGCTCAAGCTGAGCCCCAAATCTTCCTTGTCTAGCATCATGGTGTCTTGTTGTGGTGGCGCTGCTGCCTGGTAGTAACTGGGATCTGAGAATTTTTTCTTTTGCAGGGAGCGTTTTTGTTGTGTTGTATTGGGGAATTGGGAGAGAGGGGAGTGATTTGTTTGGGAGATAATGGGGGGAAAATGGGATTATATAGAAAGAAGGAGAAGGAGGGAAGGAAGAGAGAGAGAAGGGGGCGTGGGGGTGGGGACTGGGGAGGGGAAAGTCCAATGATGATGACAAATGTTGGTGAGGAGAGGAGAGGAGAGGAGAGGAGGCCAATTATCTTGAATCATCATCATCATTACTCATGCCTGCTCTGCCCCCCTTTCTTTCCTTGGATTTTATCTCTCCTTCCTAGGCATGAAATAAAATAAAAAGGAGGGGTGTTTTTTTTTTCTTCTTCTTTTTATTAATGTGAGACTATGAAATCGGTTCAATTTATACAACTTGAAATCATATCGTTTCGTATACAATAAGATTTAGTTTATGCATATGTGAAAATATATGGTTTATATAGTGAAAACGTTGTACACGAATAAAAGAGAGTGGTATTGTATTTGTATTAGTGGTTTATATGTTCAAGATGCGCAACTTTAATTTCGACGTCTCGATTACAATCTTTGCTATACCTCGAGAGCAGAAGATAGTTTCTATTCTCTTTTTTCATGTTTGAAACGGAAGGATGGATTAACTCACATGAAAAAGGATTGTTGATTTCATTCGATTTGATTCGGTCTAATATATGGGTTTTTTTTAGCCTATTATGATTAAGTAGGCCCTTGAACTCTTAGAGCCAAAGCAAAAAAATATTGTAATAAGCTCAATCGATGGTAAATAACGCTTGTTGGATGTGAAAACCGAAACGTTGTTCACCTCGGTTCATTTGTACCGGCGGCTGAAGTCCTAGAACATGAGCTCTTGCGATCGATATTGGATTTGACTTAGTACAATGTTGAAAATCAAATCACCCCTCGAAAAAAAAATTCAAGCGAAAACTACTTTGGTGAGCTTGTAAAAGATACATTTTCTATCGCATTTGTAATATGCATGTACCCAACCATAGCTTACATGACCAAAACCGCCTCTTTTGAAATCCAAAAATAACACCACCACACAAGCTTCCAATTTGAGCTCCACGCTGAAATTTGAGGTTGAATAAACAAAATAGAGGAAAAAAATAATAATGAAGTGGCATTTGACATTAATTATTTTTAGCTAGGATAGGAAACAGGAGAGAAATAGTCATCCCCCATGACTCATAGGTTAGTAGTAGTAGCCTAGTCTAGTCCAGTCTAGTTTGATTTTTTTTTTTCTCTCACATACTTTACTTAAAAATGATGACCTGGCAGTGCTGCATGCCGGCCCAGTGTTACTGTTTGTCAAAACGGAAGGAATATGACCTCTCCTCTCCACTCCTCCATTATTAATTACTTATTACTACTACCTCATCATTCATTACTTGAGCCCTTCTTTTGGACATCTTCCCTCTTCTTCCTCATAAGCTACCCAATCAGAATTTCCTCTTCTGATTTGTTATTTTCTGGGGGCCTTTACTACGGTCAAAGTTTACATGAACACGCCAAACTGTAGTAATAATAATACTACTGTTTATGTGCATGGCCGGTAAAATGGATACTAACTAGGTAAAAAAAAGTCATCTCCTACAGTAAAAAAAACAAACAAACAAACGTGGAGATGGATGGGTTTAGGTCTGCGGAACAAGGGTAAAAAGGTCTCTCTAAAATTTAGTAATGAACACTTTCGAAAAAATTAATTCCCGTAACAGCACTTGATAATTAACTACAATTTATTGTTTACTAATTAATGACGCGCACTGGCGCACACGAGGGACCGGACACCCCAAATCAAACACATTAATTAATACAGTTGAAACCTAATATATAGCTTATTATTATGACTTACGTAACCACACACTTGCAAATTTAATGACAGTAATTATATTTGATTTTGTTTTTTTAACCGTCCATATATTTAAGTATCAAAGAGTTACATTAATCATCTTTATTTTTTTCTACACGGTCTCAAACCCATCAAAAGGAAGGAAAGTAAAGCGGTAAATAATTAAAAATTAACCGTAGCTATGTGTTGAATTGTATTTTTGCCAAATGGGGGATCCGAACTGAAGTTTGACGAATCAGGACAAACAAAGAAGTGAAGAAGAGAGGAAGCCGACCCGTAAAACGGACAAGGGGCACGTGGGAGGTGAGGGGGAGGAGGGCCGGGCGGGCATGGAGGTTGAGAGGTAGATGATTGATGGTTGCATGGTGGAGGGGCTTTCCCCCGCAAAGACAAGGGAGAGTGGTTTTCACGTGGGTACGTAGTAGGAGAATGAGTGCGGAAAATGAGGATCACTAAACCTAGTAACCATGGTTGTTAACTCGGGGGGCGGCCCGATCTGTTCGAATCGGTAACAATTTCTCGGAGTCAATCGTATAAACTCGTAGAATATCGTATCGTACAATAACGACAAATCCCAACCTCATATACCTAGCCACCTGGACCTACCAAGACCGGAAACGTAAATTAAAATCATAAATTACAATTTGCTACCCATACTTCTAACAACATGGATGCCTACAGACATCCAGCGTAAAATCACAACAGTAGCGGGGTGGATACTCCTTTCCTCCAAGGTTGTCAACCCGCGGGTTGACCCGGACCCGGTCGAGCTAGTGGGTCAAGAGTTAATGGGTCAACCGTTTTAGCCCGGAAATATGGAAAAAGTCATTATATTGTACCTATCCTCATAAATTATATCAAATCTTATCTAACATATGAGCTATAACATATAATATTACACCAAAATAACATATATCGTATATAGATCCAACATATAGTGAAAATTCACACACACTTATATGACATAAATATTCAAATGTTCAACTTAGCATTCCAAAAATTGAGCTAGGCGAAAAGAAACCTCGGAAAATAGGCGCATTTCGCAAACCAATGAAAAAAATGACACAATTTGACCTCCAACCCGGTACCTTGTAGCGGTCGGCCCGACGAGTGCGTGGGGCCCGTTTTTCTCACTGGATCAGGGTCAAAGTGGGTCGACCCGCAGGTTGACAACCTTGCTCTCCTCCAAGACACACGCTGTTACGCACCTTACCGTTGACCAGTTATTCGAGAGAAGAAAACAGCAAGTAAAAATGTCGTTACAGTAAAAATTAGAAACGAATTTTGAAAAAGAAATTAGGAAAGTGGGTTAAAGACAAGCACCCCCGAATTGTTTTTTTTTATTAAAAAAAAAATGAAGTCACGTGGACCAACTTGTCCTGCCTGGAGACACGTGCACCCTCCTCCTTCAGTGGTGGTCCTCACACTTTCATCTATCTACTCCTCTCTTGTCCTCTTCTTTTTTTTTTTTGGTAGAAATCCTCTTCTTTTTTACTCTTTCTCATTTGGTTGGTTTTTCATATTATTATGCTATTATATTATTTCCTCTTATTTTTACCCGCGGTCAGAAACCATAGATTATAGAATAATCAATAATTGATTGTTTGGTTAGACCCAGATAAGCATGGGCCCACAAGCCCATTGGGTGCGACCCAACAGCCCAGCGGTCGTGCGTGTCATTTTGTCCCTCCTCCACCCGACACCACAATCATTTGATAAACTCATCCCTCTCTCTCTCTCTCTCTCTCTCTCTTCTTAGTACCCCCTTTCCTCTCCCCACTTTCCATTCCAATTGCGTGCATTCCACGCGCGGATGGGGTGTTTAGTGAGGTTATCCTACTACATAATCAACCTCCTCCTGGTCCCCTATTTTAAGTTAATAAATTTTCAAGTTTAACGCTAAAATAATAAGATTTGATTCTTCACAAATAATTTTTGATCGATTTTGATTTGCCAAACTATTTCATTTTCATGGCCTCTAGTTAATTATTGTAGTTCATTGTTCTATTTATTATCTGGTCCAATCAATTGATTGTGAATCAAACTCAAACGAAGCCATGTTACGGAGTTCGTGTGGATATCACCCTTAATATAATTAATTGTTGTTAAGTTTAAGATCTAGATTGTCATTTTTGTATAAGCATATATTGAAATTTTTTTCTTCTTTCTACCGTTCGACACGAAAAAATTGTATTTATCATTGATTCAAAAGACATAACAACGAAAATCTTCCAAAACTCACCCCCAAATTATGACCTAATCAAATATGCTAATCTAGAAGCTTGTTGGATTATTTTTCGTACTTTAATAATTAGACTCTATATTTTCCGAAAATAAATTGTTATCGAGAGGAAAATAGATGAAGGTGTTTATTTTTCATCTTTATTGTGGCCGGGGGATTTTGGTCATTGTCAAATGAATCTGAAAGCAATAATTGGTGGCATAAGAGAATGGGGAAGTGGGTCATACCTTGTCCCACTGCTCTATACAATGTGTTGTCAACTTGTCATGTACCATGGTGCTAGGGCTAGCTTGTTAGATCATGACCTCTTGGGTCCCTTTTTATTCAATTTTTATCCTTTTTCCCCACATATTATTTTCATGTGTCATGTAGCTTGAAATGTACATGATATCTTTCTGAATCGCTAAATGTCGCCCTAAGAATTGCTAAACATCGCCCTAACTAAAATATAAAATTACCTACATGCCCTTAAGCAAAAACTCAAAACAAACAAGCCCTTAAGGCAAATTCAAAAATTCATTCTCCCTCCCCCTCCCCCCAACTCCTCACCTCTGCACTCCCTCCCCCTCAACCGCCGGCGACGCCAGCCCGCCGCCGGCCCGCCGCCCCCTGCCACCGCCGGCGACGCCAGCCCGCCGCCCCCTGCCGCCCCCTGCCGCCGCCCCCGTCGCCTCCCGCCGCCCCCGTCGCCGCCCGTCGCCTGCCCCGTCGCCTCCCGTCGCCTGCCCCGTCGCCTCCCGTCGCCGCCCCGTCGCCTCCCGTCGCCGCCCCGTCGCCTCCAGCCGCGTGGAGAAGAAGGTAAGAAAAAAAAAAAAAAAATTGCACGAACCGCGGTCACCGCGCGGTTGAGCCGACGGTCAACCGCGGTCAACGCGCGGTTGGACCTGCGGTCAACCGCGGTCAACGCGCGGTCCGTCCAGCGGCTGACCGCGGTCAAAGGGCGGTTGAC